GTGTGTCCACTTCTCCCCATAGCTTTGTGTCATCTGCAAACTTGGACGGAGTACATTTCACTCCCTCGTCCAAGTCACTGATGAAGACATTAAAGAGTATCGGTCCAAGGACCGAGCCCTGCGGGACCCCACTGCCCACACCCTTCCAGGTCGAAACCGACCCATCTACCACGACTCTCTGGGTGCGACCCTCCAGCCAATTCGCCACCCACCGGACTGTGTAGTCATCCAAGTCACAGCCTCTTAACTTGTTCACCAGTATGGGGTGGGATACCGTATCGAAGGCTTTCCTGAAGTCTAAGTATACGACATCCACCCCTCCTCCTGTGTCCAGGCGTTTCGTAACCTGGTCATAAAAAGAGACTAGGTTGGTCAGGCACGATCTGCCTGCCACGAACCCGTGCTGGTTTCCCCTCAGCATAATTTGTCCTGCCGGGCTCTCACAAATGTGAGCCTTGATAATTTTTTCAAAGACTTTGCCAAGGATGGAGGTGAGACTGACTGGCCTATAGTTGCCCGGGTCCTCCTTCCTCCCCTTCTTGAAAATGGGGACCACATTGGCCCCACATCTGCACCCATCATCTGGTAGCTCCCCCTATTTGTGAAGACTCAAGTAAAAAAGGCATTAAATACTTCAACCTCTCTGAATTGCCTGTAACTAGACTACCTTCTGCATTCCATAAGGGATCCACAGTTTCTTTAACCTTCCTCTTACTTTTGACATATTTACAGATTCTTTTTATTGCCCCTCATATCCTGTGTCAGTTGCATCTGAAATCATTCCTTGGCCTTTCTCATTTTCTCCCTGCATATCTGTGCAATACTCATATTCTTTCCTAGTATATGTTTATAATTTTACAGCAAGAATCTGACAAAAAAGTTACTGTAGTGAATATCTGAGAAAACACAATCAATCATGCAGGCATGAGCAGATTAAAGATATGTGCTTGATGTTATTCCATAATTTGGTTACACACAGTTTCACACATGCATGCCATACATTATTCTGTTCATAGAACTGAATGCTGCTGATTTTGAACTGTGATATTCTGATGCGAAATACATCTTATTATTTAACATGGGTTAAAACCACATGTATTTTCACTATTTAAGAATTCATTATGGGCTAAATTATGCTTCACCTTGTCACCTTGTGTGGGAGGATTAGATAAGTGGTGGCAGAGAAGCACAGGAAGCAGTTCTCTCATAACACATTCATACATGTACTAGTCATAATTTGGCTCTCAGAGCTGGAAAATATATAGAAAATGAGGTGAAATTAGCACTACTGAAGCCCCAGACAGATTTGTTTTAGTTAACTTGTAGTGCAAAGAGTAAGCATAAATTAATGTGGTATATTAATAAAATTTATATTCCTAACAAAAATATAAAAGCAAAGTCAAGAGTCCAGCCAAGTCCATCCACCTAGTATGGTTAAAGAGTGGCAGTGACTCCAAGAGAGTGATGTAATTCTCATAGAATCATGGAAAAATACAGCTGGAAGGGTTCTTAGGAGGTCATCTAGACCAGGAACCCCTACCCCTGTCCTAAAGACTGACAAGGAGCCAGGCAACCTAGTTGAGCAATGGCAGCCCACCACATCCTGCCCCACTCTGCTGTTACCCCATGTCTCTTTGCTGAACCACTGATGACCTGTCACAGACACTCAGGGTTCTGTAGAATGCTGTTTGAAAACCACTGATCTACACCTCAAGGCAAGATCCATCTAAACCATCTCCTCCAAAAGTTTGATTTAAAAAAAAACTTTTAACGATGGGGACTCCACAGCCTCTCTAGGTAATCTGTCCCAATGCTTACCCATGCTCATAGTGAGTGCTTCCTAATATGCAGCCTACATTTCCCTTGCTGCAGTTCAAAATTGTGACTTCTTCTCCAGTCTACTTGAGCCACATAAAACAATGTTATCACCATCATCGTTATAACCACCCTTCATGTACTTGAAGACTATTATCAAATCCCCCCTCAACCTCATATTCGCCAGACTAAATAATCCCATTTCTTCCAATCTTTCCTTGAAAGCCATGTTTCCTAGACTTCTAATTATTCATGTTGTTCTCTGCAAAATGCTTTCTAGTTATATCTGGCCATCTTTGAATCCCCAATCTTAATAACCAAGTATTTACTCACATCTGGGTTGGCTGGATGTAGCCTGGATTTCAAATTCTGAACAGGGCTCAAACACTGGAACTGGAAAAGGCACCTTAATAATTAGCCACTCTAAGTCCCAGTTCAACCAAGGTATTTTGTATAAATCAGCAGTGTCCTTCCTGGAATATTATGTTCACTTCAGGCACCGTATCTCAAAAATATATTACAGAAATAGAAGAAATTCAGGCACGAGAATGATCAGAGGCATATGAAAAATGCACATATTGAAAGAGACTGAAAATATTAAGACCTTTCTTTAGAGATGAGGTGAATGAGAGGGGAAGTAATGAAACACAACAACATTATCCAGGGTTATTATAGTATTTTAAAAATGTTTTGAAAGGTATATAAACCCTCATGCATAAGGAAATAAGTCAATCTTTAACTGTTTGAAGTTAGGAGGAAATTTTCCCTTGCATCTTTTTCAAAAGCAGCTGCTATGTTGTCTGTTAGAGATAGGATACTGGCCTGACAGATCAGTACTCTAATCCTTTTTTTTCAAATTTCTGGTTCCAAAGATGATTTGAAGGTGGACTGAGGTATGACAGACAGTTGAGTTTTGAGGTGATAAAGACAGATTTAGATTTTTTTAAATCTTACCTGTGACAATATATACCTGTTGCCTGTTACTATATATCTATATGTATGTTGTCAGTTTATTAAACCACCATCACTTTTTCCAATACTGTTTTCCCTTAGTTTCTGAAAGGCCAGGAGTGTGCAGGTATAGTTTGAAATGTGAAATTTTGATCACAAGGGGACTTAATATGCTGTAATTAAAAACCAGCATATTGGCTTAAGTGGTATTAGGCCATATCTACACATTACACTTAAGGTGTGATTAACCAGTTAATCATACCTTAAATTGTGATTCAGCCACACATTCAATCAATTAATGGCATGATAAAACAAGGATTAAGCTACAACATTATTCCACAAAAATGTGTAATACCTTTATGGCTTGTTCTTATCACGGCATTAATTGAAGTATGGCTGGGTGTTCCCCTGTGGCTGGAAGCCCCATCAGCTGACATGGCTCCTGGGTGCAGGGGTTCACCACCTGCTGTGAGTCCCATTAGCTGTGGGGCTTTCAGCAGCAGGAGCTGGTACAGGAAGAGTGCAAAATCGCAGTTCCCACCCTCCCCCCCCAACACACACACTTCCACTGGCTATAAGGCATAATTTCACCGGATGCTGGATCCCAGTCACACCTACTGTTAGGTACATGTGGCTTGGCAGGAGACATGATTGTGTGAATCATGTTTCAGATCCTATCACACGTTTACCTCAACATCTAGAGGGGCCCTTATAAGAATCTGTGCTAGTCATCTATGAATGTGCTTGAGTCTAAAATAGCCATGGGTTTTGCAATTACAAATTTAAAACCCAAAAGGAAAAAAACAAAGAGGTGTTGGAAAACCATTTCTTTTCATAACTTAAAACAATCGGTGATGTCCCTACCAAGTGTGTGTGTCATACATAAAGTTGATTCGACTAAGTAGTTTTTAAACTTGTATGGGTTTAACTTGGA